TTTTCTATTTAATTATTATATTACAGTAACATTATTTGCGTTAAATAATTTTTGTGTTACTCAGTTAATATGTTTGATATTTCTTACAGTGATTAAGTTTTTTTTACATAGACTTAATATGTAAATTCTCGTATTTAAACGTTTAGGTCACACTTTAAAAAGAATGTAAATTACCATCTCTTCTCTCCCCCCTGCCCCTCTCCTTCTCTCGGAAGGGAAGAAGGAAGCAAGAGAGGGAGAGAGGAAGGGAAGGAGAGGGAGAACTTCATACCTTTAAAAAATCTGAAAATGAAATATTTCATTCATCATGAAATGATTAATTTACAATAATTTTTTGAAAACAGTATTTAAATATTTTTAATAAAAAAAAACATTCATTAAAGATTTTTTATTTTTTTTTTATTCAAATTTTTCGTCAAAAATCTAAAAAAAATTTTTTTAGATGTAATATGCTAAAGAGTGTCAAATTTTTCAGATTTTTTAATTTACACAATAGGAAAATAAAAATAAAAAATTGAAATTTATTTCACTATTATTACTGCATAAATAAGTTTAGTAGGTTGAAATTTGATGTAAAATAATCATTTACCGAGCTTAACAATGTGACATACTCAAAATTGGATTGGTTTAAGGGCATTTTTCATATGCTTATTCGGCTAGGTCCTTTGATCATCAATTTGATGCTACTGACACATATCTTAAACCTATAAAAAAACTTATTATAAAAAATATTACCTCAGCTAGAATTTTATTGTATATTTTCTCGCTTCTGATACCATAATCTGAAATAGGTATATTAATTGCACACGAGCCAATTGCGCACAAGCCAATCACAGCGCTAGAAAAAATAAATAAAACCCCCTACAGAGAAGTCGCTGTGATTGACAGTGGGCAATTGCAACAGTAAATCTGTTCACGTTACTTGAAATCCCCAAATTGCACTTAAAATAAGTTAGATTATATAATTAGGCATTGAAAAGAAAAAAAACGAAGATGCTGAATGCACAAAGTGTAAGTAACGCGAACAAGTCTAATATGCAAGTGAACCACTCCCTTGAAAATAGTAGTGCGGAGTGAACAAGAATTTTAATTACAATAATTATGATAATTATTTACTAATTAACCTTTAACCGTGTTAAGTGGACTTTCGACATTCCATTCTTGAGTATAAATCATTACGGCGGTGTTGTTCGCACGGCATATTTTTCCTAATTTTTTCCAGTAGTGCAAGATCAATTTCTGCCATAGCTATACCCATTTTATCCGTACATTGCGCTATAACAGTACCCCAAGGATCCACAATCTGAAAATGAACGGATTATGCTTTCAATTGTAGTGAGAAATTTTTTAATCTTATCGAAAAAAAACTATATACACAATAAATGGTTCCGTTCATTGATGGAATACAAAAAAAATTCAACAATTTTATAAATAGTGTGCCAAAAAGTAAGTTATTATTATATAAATAAATTGAATCAATTTATCAAACAATATAATATATAATATAATATAATATATTATAGGACCGTATATGTGATAACACAAACTATAGAAATCAAAACCTTTAAACGGTCTAGCTGGATCTTAATGCTTGTATGATTCGTGTGTGAATTTATATACTACGTATGTAATCCTTAGAAATGCGCACCAAAATGATTTTTCGATCTTGAAACACTAACTCTACTAAACTCGCAATAATATCACGAATTAAATTGATTAGCAATTTAACAAATTTTGTATGCTTTTTCGCATCTTCGAAACAATCTTAATAATGTTGAATGACACATTAAAATCTGTAAATAATTAATTCTTATTGCGAAAAATATTACATCGGCCGGAAGTCGAACCCGAATTTCTTGCATTCCGTGCGCACGAAACATCATTACATTAACCCAGATTGGTGCAAACTCGGTCGGGTCGAAAACGCTAATATACACAGAAAAAATCACTACACGTTCGATGATTACAGATCATAGCTTGCATTGCAATCACGATTAGAAAAATGTAAAAATTTTGGATGTAGAGACAACTTACAATAAACGACTTATGTCGGAAATGCTTAATATTAATTGCCAACCTAATAGATTGAATTTGAAAACTGACACAGGTCTAAATTACGCTCATACGGAGATACTAAATAAGTCTTAACAGCATTATTTATTGTTTCCGATTTGTCCATTATGTACTCTCTGATTTCGTGATCATTATACTTAGCAGTCACATTTTAACCATTTAATGAGACATGGCTATTTCTTTGTCGATCAACTTCTCAATTTTAATTGTCTGACTATTTTTCAATACTTAGTATATTCCTTGTATTATTAATTGACGAACTGTTGTTCAATATGGATTGTTTAGTATTATGAGGTGAGCAACCTTTTAAGATCACAATTTCTATTTTTAACACAAGAAAAATACTTTCTTTTGATAGAAAGCCGCAGCACAGACTTTTGCATAACGCATAACACATAGTGCATAAGCGAATGAACTAATCAGAATCTTCCCTTTCCTCCCATTCCATAGAAAAGAAGAATTTCAATTGATTAATTCCCTTATGCACTATGCATTATGCGTTATGCAAGAGTCTGTGCTGCGGCCATTAGTTTTGAGATTGGCAATCCATCAGCCATGAAACTATGTGTTACAACATTGATTAATAAAATATGATTTTACAATCAAATATGATTTTCATTAATCAGTCGTATATTTGTTCCATTGCAGTAATTCTTTATATATTTATCTATTGAAGATATGGCTCAAAACAGAGCCGGAACATCCAGAAATAATTAAATTTATTTATATCTTTATTATTGTTATTTTTTTGCGCAAATCAGCACTAGCGCTGACTCTTAATGCTACCTGATGCTATATTTATTTTTATTCTATATATATAATTATTTACCATGGCATGACCCCAGCTCGTTCTTTTTTTGTTGTGCGTGCCAGTTTGCGCTGCAGCTATGACATAACACTGATTTTCTATGGCTCGTGCTCGCAGCATCACCTCCCAGTGTGCAGCGCCAGTTTCATATGTGAATGCTGATGGATATGTGAGAATTTGCGCTCCCATATTCCGCAATGTTATCGATAACTCGGGAAACCGCATGTCGTAACACTGTATCATTGTTAAGTTTTGCTATATATTTATAATTTATATATGCAGGGATTCGATTGTGTATCTCGAAATGAGATAAAAATTACAAGTGAGCAAATTCACTAGAATACTTATAATTTCATTGGTCAATACCTAGTGAATTTACTTACTTTTATAATTTTCATTCTATTTTAAGATACACAATTAATCGCCAGGGTGTCCCACTTTAATCAATCACCTTCCAATATTTTCTTTGTTTTTAATTACAAAGTATTTCGAACAAAAAGTTACAACTTAGTAGGGACATAATGATAAAATTGTTTTTAAAAAAATCAACTTTTTATCATATAAAAATCATTTTAAAAATGGAATGACACAATTGTTAATTTTAATTAAGGATACAATACTAAGTGCGAGCTTGCCGATTGGTGTAGGCACAGGTGGCACAATTTCAATTCCTTTAAGCACATAATCCGATTCCATCAGACGTACTCCGGTATCCTTATTATCTATGTCGAACAAGTGTAACTTTCTATACACAGCAACCAAATCTCCTTCATTATTTATCAATATATGTGTATTGTAAATCTTTTCCACATTGTCTGACTGAAATGATGAATGTTTTTAAATATCATTGAAAAAATAATTATTTTATCTTTTGTAATTAAATGAATTAATGTAAAATGGAAATTAAAATATTTACAGCTTCATGAATTCCACCTAAGGATAACCAGATATTATTCTTAATAGCAATCTCTTTATAAGATGTCACTGTCAGTCCAGTCAAAGGTTCAGCCATGGTGACGATATCCTTTTTATTATCTGCCAAAAAATCGCAAGCTTCAGGAAAAAATGCTATCTGCAAAATATATAAATTAGAAGAATAAAGTTAAATGTCATGCAATTTATGGATATAAAACACTATTTATTGTAAAGTATTTACATACTGTGGCTGATCTGCGTTTGGCCTCAGTTGCTAATTCATTCACAATCTGTAGATTTTTCACTTTGTCAGCTATTGATCGCATTTGGCATACTGCAATTAGTGGATGTATCATTGTGTTGATGTAACGTTTCGCTGGTTGTATGCTAAAATGCAAGAACTTAGTTACTTCATAAACATAATAAATGCATTCAGAATAACAACTGCTCACTGAGTACTCAGTGAACAGTTGTTCTGAATGCAGCCAATAACAAATAAAAATAATTTTGATATAACAAAGTTTTTTTTTTGTAAATGGATAGTTCGCGAACGAACGAGTAAAATAAATGAATAAATGAATCTTTTACGTGAACTAGATGAACTAATTCACAATTATCTGAAAATGATGTCAAATTGAACTATTTAATCGACAATTACTAAAACTACAAGTTTCACAGTTCCTGGCGAACATAAGTAAACACGTGGTGAAATATATATAGTCCAACTTTTTTATTTTGTACAATATTTAAATATAAGTATATACTTCTTTCTAAGCGTATTCAACCCGACTGGATTTACACCAACCTAGGTTGAATGACATTGTACGCTTTTCTATTGGTGGAATATGTAACGTCAATCAATAGTAGAACATTATCCAATTAAAATAAGAGTAAATCCGCTCGGGTCGAAAATGCTATAAGTAAAAATGGTAATTATACAATTTAGCATCAATCACCTCAAAAATCAATAAAAAATTAGGCTTATTCGCCACGTTTTTGCATGAAATGAAATAATCTGGCAGAAAGTGTCGCTCTGCGAAGCGAGATATTGAGCGTTAAATTTAACTGAAGTGTTACTATGTAATGCTCTTCGCAGAGCAGTCCCGGACTTTTTTCTGCCAGATTCTTTGAATGATCCTAATTTCATCGAAATCGGAGGTAGCTCTTCTGAAGAATTAGCGGCCTCATTTTGACAGATTTCCTAACCTCAATGGTACGCTACCCAACTTAACGCTTAACATCTCGGTTCGCGGGACAGAGTGACATTTTTTTCTGCCAAATTCTTTCATTTCATGTAAAAAAACACGTCGAATAAACCTAATTTTATTGATTTTTGAGGTAGTTGGTGCTAAACCATATAATTACCGTAAAAATACTTGCTTGCACACTTTTGTGCAACAATTCATCATCAAAAGGCAAAGCTAAATGAGAGATCATCTGATTGATCTAATCAGCGTCTACGGAACAATAAGGAGATCAGATTTGAAGTCTGAGACCGGTATTCATAGTCGATTCTTATTTCAAGATCGCCTTAAATAATGTTTTAAGACTACGGTGTAAGAATATATAAGGTGTATCCACTCCTATAAAATCACTAGTCTCTTCGTGAGGTAACTGGAATAGTAAACCGCTAGATGGCATATGTTTTGAGCACTTATGTTTTCGCGTGGATGAAACTATAGTTTCTGTACTATAGTTTCTCTGTAGTTTACTATAGTTACTAGTTTATTATAGTTTCTTTATAGTTTCTCTACAGTTTCTGTACTTAAATCTTCAGAATAGAAGCGTGCCGACTGTCCATAGGAAAGATAGTTGGGCATGCTTTTATCCTGAGGATTTAGTCCTAACACGAACCACATCTACTTTTGATGATTTTATCGAAGTATAAAAAAATGTATGTTCCCAAACTGAAAATGGATGTACTAGCGGTAGTCTACAGACGATTTCAACGGTAACAGAAAAAAGGCCGGCATGGCCCCTCTCAGGTTTGTCTCTGTCCAAAGGTGCCGACACGAAGTGTCTCTACTGATCATTAAGATTGGGACATTTTCTAGGGTTTTTTACGTTATATGTAATATACATATAACGTATATACATATTACCTCAAATATGTATATACGTAACACACACGTTTCTAAAGATGCCTTTTCACGCTTTTGACGCTCGATGCTCATTTTTAGTGTCAAAATAGGTCACGTGATCAAAATTGACGCTCGATATTGATCAATTTTTATTACGTGACTTACTTTGACGCCAAAAATGAGCGTCGAGCATCGATATGAAAAGGCACCTTAAAGCCAGCAAAGATACTTGTTTTCCTGCTAGGCTACTAGCTGAATTAGAATCTTGCCACCATATTTGCTGTAATGCTGTTAGTGTCAATATTGCAGCCAATACAGCCAATCCAGCAGAAAAACAAGCATCGTGTGCCGTAGGCTTAACCTTTCAAATCAATTTTGAAGGAAAACAAAATATGCTGTGAGCTGTGACGCTGAGTCATTATATGACACTAGACATCAAAGGATTTAATCAAGCATAGCCCATAACCACCTTCCTCCCAAAAATCATGAAATCGGTCTACCGCTGTGACGCATTTTTTTTTAATTATTGTGCTTACAGCATGCAACAATTATCTTGAGATTTGAGATGTGAATAATGTGATTAAATTTTTCAAAAGTGTTAACAATCATCGGATGTGGCAAGTTAGCAACAGCTGAAATTCCATCAACGGCCTGAAGGGGCATACAGAACGCGTTCGACGTATTTTACATCGTAACACGTAAGAAATTAAAGACGTAAAATATCTAGTATTTTACATGTCTTAGACTGGGTTTTCACTTGATGCTCATTTTCAAGTCACATAATCAAAATTGACGTTAGATATTCGTCAATTTTGATTACGTGACCTATTTTGACACTAAAAATAAGTGTCGTAGCGTTAAGTGAAAACCTAGCCTTAAGCCTTGGGGCCACGATGCTAGAAATCAGTCCGAGACCTCGGAAGAAAGAGATTTATTCGCGTCACATGCTCCAGCATGTTTCAATGTGCTCCTACTATAGCTCCTACTCACTTCAACGAGCGCGTTAGAGTGAGTAAATGCTACGATAGGAGCATTTTAGAGCATGTTAGAATGCCCATAAAGCGAAAATTAGCAACAGAACAAAATTCGCGGAATCAACACGACGAATCACAGTTTTCTTTCTTATGGCTCCTGCACACAGAACACGGCAACGCTTGCTGCGCGGCGGAAGTTGGCGCGATAGCCAATCGTCTCGCTTGCTCGGAAGTAATAGATATGTAATTTCCACCGCGCGACAAGAGTTAAACTTTAATCCTTTTGCCGCGTGGCGGAAGTAATATTATATCATTTCTAGAAGTTCTGTATGGTGAGGCCGACTTAAGAACATAAAATTATTAGTTAGTGCGATAATTTCCGCCGTGCGGCAAGCGTTACCGCGTTCTGTGCGCAGGAGCCATTAGAGCATGCGACACGAACAAATCTTATAGAGTGCTTTGCATTTGATGACACAAGTCGACACAAATGTTCTATCTTTGTCACTGGCCTAGTTTACACCGAGAGTTCAATCTAGGGGAGAATGCAAGAACCAACTAACTGCAGTCGAGCATTCCCCTGTTAAGCAGGCAGAACAGACTCTTGCATAATGCATAACACATAATGCATAAGAAAATGAACCAATTAAAGTCCCCCGTTTCCTTCATTTCCATGATATAAAGAACTCTGATTGATTGAATTTCTTATGCTTTATGTGTTATGCGTTATGCAAGAGTCTGAGCTCCTCGCTTTACTGTCGAATGATAAGGGAATGCTCGACTGCAGTTAATTCTTAGGAGCTCCGCACAATAACAGAGAACAGAGAATAAGAATTTCAACCAATCAAAAATCATGTATTGTCAAATACACAGTTTTTGATAGGTTAAAATTCTTATTCTCTGTTCTTTGTTTCTTGTTCCTATTATTGTGCAGAGCACCTTAGGGTGAAATCACACGGTCCAGAATGGGAATACAGAATGCGGAATACAGAATGTGTCATTGAAGCAACCAATCAGCGCTATTCCGCACTTTTCCATCACGCAAGTTTTGTGTGCTATGTTCACATAATGCGTCAAAAATAAAAATGTATCCAGCATGAATGTAATTTAAAAACTATTAACTTCAATAATTTTAATAATTTGTTTATTAAAATGAAATATAATTTTTCAAATTGTAAAAACAATTATCATTGTATTGTAGTATTTAATGTTTTACAATTAATATTTACAATTTTATAACAATTTTTTGCTTTAACTACATTTACTATCATTTTTCCGCGTGTGAACATAGCACACAAAACTGGCTTGATGGAAAAGTGCGGAAAAGGACACACTGAAATCGCACGTTATGCATCATTATTTTTTTTATCTTGATATCTACATTTATGCACTCAGATTTTGTCATCTTGCTTCATTTGTCTTGACATTACGCAATTCCATCATATGAATCAGCATCAAATTATTTTAATCTCTCAAAATACGATGATTTATTACAAAAAGAATGACGCACTCGCTGGTCACTAGTAAATAGATCATTAATCGCTTAAATGTGATTTACATGTGGCAACTTTTATTCACTAGAAGCCGCGTCTAGTGACGTCATTAATTTGCCAGTGAATTTTCTCAACTCTGCTGCTATTCGCTTGAAGCAAGCTTCTTAATTCGTCCGCAAATTTGCTGATGAAAGTTTCTTGTACACACTTGGTTTTTATTCGCTAGCGACTAAAATTTTGAAGTTGCAACGTTAAATGATCACTAGTGATCAAGCGAATAGTTGGTCACAAAGCACAACAGCGGCTTGAAGTATGTCATTCGATGACATGATTATTCTCTGATGCTTATGGTCTGTAGCCGAAACAGAAAAATTCGTCTTTTCACGCTGACGATTTAAAAATCTCTAGAAGAGTAGCAAGAAGCTAGCGACAAGCGTCGAAAGCGGTACTCACCGCGACTATATACTATAAAAACAAACCCGCGTCTAGAAGTTTTTAGTAGCGAATTCGCTATGACGTCACTAGAAGCGGCTTCTAGCAACTAAAAGTCGCCCTGTGTAAATCACGCTTTAGGGTTGAAAATGTTAAAAATTTTAATATATTTTATGTATGCATATGTATACATATATATATATAATATATTTCTATATATGTATACATATGTAAAATATATTTAAATTTTTAACATTTTTGAAAAAATTTTACATAGACGACTAATGATCTCCTATTCACTAGTGATCGGTACGTTACTACATTGGACGCACCTAATGGGTGCATCCAGAAGCACGACCGCTCACTGAGCGCTCTGGATGCACCCAACAACGCATTCTCTATTCTGCAGCCCTTTTCTGTACTGTGTGATTTCACCCTTACATTCCGACTTGAATCGAATCCTTGATGTAAACTAGGCTTATATTGTGGCAACACTGTTCGTTTTTTTGTCGACTATTGTCGATTCAACATATCTTTTGGTCAAGTTGTCAACGACATTTCTGCTTTGTGTCACATTTCGTAGATTTCTTGTGTCTGCATCGAGGACATTAATTACATCGAAATGCTTAATCACGTATTGCGACCGATCACTCGTAACTTTATCAGAAGTGGTGAGATTTTCCTTATTTTAGAGCTATTCGTGTTAATCCGTGATACAATTAACTCTATATCTTACGTAATGTTTGCTATTATGTATGAATATTGCTAAATGTTATTCCGTGTAAATCCGTGGCGATAATAATAATAAATATAAAAATCCTTTGCGCTCGCGCGTCTGTAATGATAAATATTCTTTAATTAATGTTTTCTGCCAATTATTTTAGACTTGTGAATTTAAGAAAATAATCAATTATGAATTATAAGAAAATGCTCTTGTAAAACTACAGTCATGTAATTTATCATAAAATGTATTCTTTGTCTTAACATTAGACTTTATGATTTCTGATTTTCCATGATATAATTTTGACTTAACGTAATCTCACTCGAATATTTAACAGTAGCATTTTGTTTAAAGCAGAGACTGTTTCAAATTAATGCAAGAAACTTTATTTTAATTAGGATTGTCATTAGGTCTGTTTGCATTGCTTGTACTTTTTGTACTCAGCATCTTTGCTTTCTTTCTTTTCAAGTATATCTATCTCCATTTTAAGTTCAAAAATTTTGAAGAATTTTAAGCAACACGAACAGGCCTAATTGAAATTAAAAAATATATTGAAATTGGAATTATCTTTGCAAAAATATATAAATCAGAAATAATCTATAAATTGCATATAAATTAAGAGTAAAAAAATAATATTTCATAATAATATTTCTAAACATATATTTTTCATTGTAAAGGCAGTCGTTCCTCCAGCTCAAAAGTCGTGGATATTAAATTGCCAACAATAAATGACATACCTGGACCATGTGGACCATGGAAAAAACATTATGACGCGAGACAGAAAGTTTACAATGCTCAATTAATTGCTGGTGTTGGTATACTAATTAGTACCATAGCTTATGTATGTATCAAATTTATGTTACTTCAGATAATAATGTTAACTGTATCAGATTATAAAATCTTATTCTTATAATGCATATCTCTTGATATATTGGGTCGGAGAAAAAGTCTTCGTATTTTTTAAAGTAATTATTTAGAATATCCCCCCCTCCCCCTCTATCCAAATCTTAATAAAAATACACTTATTCGACGTGTTTTCACTCAAATCGAAAAAATCTGGTAAAAAAAGCTCGGCGATCGGTCTTGTGAATCGAGTTATTAAGTGTTAAAATTGAAGACTTTAGAGGTTAAGATATCTGTCATCTTGACTCAATATAGCGCTATGTATATGTTCTGCATTAATTATACAAATTCACTGCTTCAAAAACACAAATTCACTGCTTTAAAAATACATTCTCTGCTTTACAAACACAAATTCACTGCTTTACAAATAAAAATTCACTATTTTATAAACAAAAAATTCACTGCTTTAAGCACATAAATTCTTTGCATTAGCAGTGAATTTGTGTTTTAAAGCAGTTAATTTGTATTTTTAAAGCAGTTAATTTGTGTTTTTAAAGCAGTGAATTTGTGTTTTTAGTGCAGAACATATACATACATAGAGCTGTATTGAATCGAGATGATAGATATCTTGTCTAAAAGTCTCCAACTTTAATGCTTAATAACTCTATTGACGCCGCATTTTTTTGCCAAATTCGTTTTGAGTGAAAATACGTCGAATAAGTATATTTTTAAGATTTGAGATTGGGAGAGGGGGAGTTATTTTAAATAATTACCTTTTATTTATTCAAAATTATATATATGATCTTCATCAAAAATGAACGAAATTTTAAAAAAAGATTTTAAAGCTTGAAGGGGTTACTATATTTTTTGAGTTTCTGTGAGTTTGATAATTTTTACATTTAGAAAACTATGAGGTGAAAAAGATGATATAATTAAAGATAACAGTCAAAGATACATAAAATAAAATAAAAAGTACAACGGCGTATATTAAAATATAAAACAAACAAGTTTCGGCTGCTGGATTGAGCCCTCCTCAGATGTAAAAAGAATATAATATAAAAGATATAAAAAGAACATAAAAGAATACAACAGAGAAAGATAATAATAAATCGATAACATTCAGTGACGCAACATTTTTAACGCGCGGAAATCAGCAAATGTGATGGATCTCGACGTAGCTTAATGTTGTATGTGCGATAGGGCAATCAAACCGATGT